TTCAGACTCATATTTCATCAGCTAAAACTCACAGTGCCGACGCAGAATAGCTGATTTCGTAGTTTCCCACTAAACAGCCTACAGATCCAACCTGATACTAGAACTAGTTAATAGTAGCAAATRCTTTAAAGAAGCTTTTTACATTAGTCAAGATGACAACATTCCAACTACCAGAAACAGAATAGGTWTAGCTTAGTAAAAAAAAGTCGATATAATAAGATCCAATATATCCAATAGTTATTAAACAAAAATGTTTTTCAGGTAATTTCTTGATGCCGAGAAAAATAAAGATTATTATAATCAACCTACAATCCAGTTGGAAATAAATTTTAAATTATAAAGTCTATAACCAAGGCAATTGATATATTKATATTTTACTACGGTGTTAAGGGTAGGTAATTCTTGTTAATATTATTATTAACTATTATGTGCATTAAAAATAACAATTTTAAAGCGTTATAAACATAATGTTTGTAATTAATTACGCTTACCAATTCTAAATGTTAAATTTTCTATTATCTTATCAATAAGTTTGATGATCTTGTATGTCAGGGACACTTTATAATAATTATAATAATAATAAAAATATTATGTAATTTGTAATAATACTCAAGATATAGTATAAGAAAATACAATTTGCATCCTTCCTTACCTCAATAACTAATCATTAGTAATCAAATTAAAATACAAGTGTGCACTCCGGTATATTAGTAAAAGCCATTGGYTTTCTTTGTGCATATTATTACATACAATGTAGATATAGACGATAATAATATGCATAGTGGTAATAACTGATAAGCTTTGCATTGACAAAAAATTTAATTGTTTGTATTAATATCTAATTACACTAAAATTTGATTTTCAAATACTCRTAAAAAAGTTGAATGTTATGCTCCATACATTTCTTATGAGTGATTGAAGTTCAAATTTTTCTCAAAATTGGATTCATGATATTATATAAACGATTTTTGACAATTTGATTATTTTTATGCAGTTGAAATTTTTGAATTTTCGAACTTTTAATGTATTTTTTTCCATTAATGTTAACATTTTATTCTAGGTTTAAAGGTTTGACACTTTAAAGTAARATTCCTCACAAGTTGCTTTACGGCCACCTAAAAATTTAAATAGAACATATTTACTTTGTACTGGTCAGTCATCAAGGTGATGCTTACAAAAAAAAAAAAAAAATCACATCATTCTAAAACCAATACATTTATCGCTCCTCTAGGAATCCAAAATAAAAAATTCGCCAAAGATATAAAATATTTATTAGATTTTTGCTTTATATACGTATTTGTATGTACGATGTTACAACATAAAATAAGGAACGGCTGTCTCTAGGGTGTCAGCAATGGGATTTGAGTGGCACTCGCACTAAAAAAAGTATTGTAAATACAAATACATGTTTATATTATTTCTATAGAATATATTTTAGAATTATTCTTAAGTTCTACACCCTTTTGGCTATATTATATTATATAAGTTTGTATTTGGCAATAATGTTTTCTTTATTTTCATATTATATTAACTATTAATTTGTTATTGAAATTTATTCTAATACAGATAGAGAATTATTAATTTTATATAGCAATGTATTTTTCTTGTAAATTATTTAAAAAAGAAATGTAATGAATCTTATGATACCTATTTAAGATTGTAGTTTTTATCATAGCTTATATTATTGAAACCATTCAATTTTTTTATCATTAGAACTGTAAGTTACAATTTGATTGTTATTATTATTTTAGTTTTTTAGATGCTTTAGTTAAAATATTCTATTTACCTTAGTTATGTCTAATGCACAACAGTGTTTGAATTCAAAGACACAATACTAAGGAACGCTTAAAATGCATAATTTTGGTAAGGGGTGAATTTGATATAGTTTTTATTTGCGAATTTAAACAGAAAACAAATAATCACTTAAACAACTTAACAGAGATTTTTTGTTTTAAGAATGCTATTATCGTGTGTTGGCGTATACCTAATACTACATTAATAAACAGAAGAACAATTCAAAAATAGTGTTATGCTGATATTAAATAATTTGATGACGATCCAGAAGCTGGCTGTGGCACTGCAKGTATTTTACTTTTATAAGCTTATAAGAATTATAGCTTAAGCATAATATTGCTGTATTTATATAAAATCCTAGCTTAGGCCAAAGGGTCGACTGCTTTCATCCCACACCTTTTAAACCACTTCTGGATAGGTACTTATAACATGGCCATATATATTCGTTATTTTGCTGAAGTCCGTAAATTATGAAGGGATAGATAATATGCGTACATTTTTAAAGGATAAATAATTGCTTATAGGTCTTCGATTAAGTATCGACCCCCTCCCTCTCCTGTGTGTGGATTTATTGGAGTAATATTGCTGCATTGTAGAAACTGTGCGTGACGCACGAAATACACATTTGATACTGGATGAGCTGAAGTGTGACGTCACCTATCGATACTTTTATTATTATAAATATTATTTGTTGAAAGCGATACGATCCAATAACGTAATCAAGTGAATTGTTGCGGCATGTGCGGTGGCCCGGAATCAGATTTACACCGATATAAAATTTTATATTATGTTGTAATGTATAATATATACTGTAAAATATAGGATGATCCAAATTTAACGTAGTGAACCTGTTTTATCATTAATTTTTGTGATTTAGCAAAAAGGATTTTCACATAAAAATATAACATTAACATCGAAATTGTTATGGAGTGTCTAAACCTTATTATATTTTTTATAATTTATTATTATAATTTTAGATTTTAGTAATTTAAAAATCACCGTAATAAAATTTGGTACCTTTAAAGACCATTGCCACATTGGTTAATATAAAAATCATCTTTTAATCGAGTAGTTTTTCATATACCTATTCAATAACAACGAGCCATTATATATAGTTATTTGTTAATTGTTACATTATATAAGTAATAAGTGTATTCTAATCTATATCTAATATCTATGATGTCTTATACTATCGCTATCGGGCGAATATGCCTACGAGTTACGACGACGGCGATTACAATGACTAGGAAATTTTAACATAAACGTTCTTTCGTATATTTTGTAGGTAATTAAATTGTTATAATATCGATCAAATCAAATGCATCTTTTAGTACAGTGTGTGCACTACAACAGTCAATTTTCAGAGTTAAAATAAATTAAAATAAATTATTAATACATTTGATATTCGAACGATCGAATGACGATACACATAGAATGCCATTTATTAAAAAAAACAATTTCCTAAGATGACCGCCTATTCTATCATCTTCGTACTTAAATCATTCCTTAGAGCCTAGAGTGACTTATCGAAAACTTTTTAACTCGTTGATGCTCAGCCTTGGTTTCGAATGTGTTTGGGGTATTTCCGCAGTGCATTGGCGTATAACAAGCGGAAACTAGCTTAATATAACTGAAATAGCTATAGACGCAATGATAGTAAATGGTATATCGAAGCATTGTATTTACCATCATGCCTTTTATAACACGAAACGATACAAAGTGATATTTTAGTTTGCGATCGGAAATACTGTGCCGTCGCGATTGCGTATTTTTGTCATACGCAAATAAGTTTGCATAGGTTTGATAATATATCGCGTGGATTGAAGGGTGAACGGTTGAAGAGCTTTTATCTGTGTACGTTAATAATATTATGTAATGTGTATATGCACCCGCGTGGGCAGTCGGAAAATGGTCAGCGGGACGCGGTCGATGGACCGAACTTCTCAACGGCTCCGCAGGTAAACGACGAGAATACGTGGTCTACTGTTGTCTATAAATGACGGAAACTCGATTGCCAACGCACATGACTGTGTATTTACACGTGTTGTATGTTTAATATTATAATAACGATAAAAAAAGACAAAAGACCATAATATATGGGCAGGTGTTTACGGAAGGAGGACTAATATAATCAAACCGTGCGGAACGTAACTTAAAAATTGACTGAAAGCGTTCTTTGTAAATAATAATAATAATAAAAGGTGGGTAATGGGAAGGTAATAGGTATGCTTCACAGCTCTGATTTCCGATCATTAATAATGATCTGTCGGTATAGGCATTTAGCTTCACCAGCTTTGGAGTGTGATAATTGTTATATAATATTAACTCGTACCTATTCAATAATAATAATGAAGTCTGCAGTCAACAATTTATTGTTTAAGGAACTTGAATACTCCCCCTTTTGATCGTTAAAATCAAATGTACCACAGATGTCGAAGAATTGAAACCGATGTTCTATAGAAGTATAGAACAAATAATATCATACTGCACCTATTTGTTGCTTAGGTCCTCAGAGTGAAGTGGAAAAGTTGTATATAATAATCGTAATAGGTACATATTATCCTATACATAATGTATGGTATTATGGTCTTACTCATAGTGTTGAGTACCTATAATAAAAACTAAAAAGTTGAAAAAGTTGATCTAGATYAAAATTAAGTAAAATCAAGATATTTTATCAAGTTAACACAGTTGTTTAGATTAGGATTTTGGTAAATAACGAGTTTAATCTATTTACATTTTTAGTAACACAACTATACTTTTTTTCCAGGCTTGGCTCAAGTATTGAAACACACTTAGTAAACTTAAGTTTTGTAGCTCTTTATATTTAAATATTACATAAAATATTTTTCCTGAAAAATTCCGGCTTAGGGCCTAAATTAACTATGTACCTTGAACTGAATATCCTTTTTTTCTGTGTAACTGGTACAAAAAAAAATTATCTAAGATTTTCAAAACGTTTTCGAAAATTGTTTATACTAGCATAATATTATAATTAAAATTTTAACTAATGATTGAAAATAAAATAACAAGTCAGGATTTTAATGTATTTATAATTATTCAAATTTTAAGTTTTTTTAGTTATCTGCATATATATATATATATATATAATATCAGGATTTACAATTTTTAAGCACTTGAGTGCTTATGTTGTACTACTTAATTTTTTTACTCTATGGTAATTTATATAAATATATTATACTCACTTGAGTTGACCTGTACCGTAGTGGTCTTCGATATTTTCTTCGTACCTTTCTTGGACAACATACACACAATATCCGACCATATGCCCTAGAAAAATGTTTATTCAATAAATTAGATTTATTCAATAGAGTTTATTATTATTTACATATAAGGTAGGAGAAATAAACGTATTTTTAAATAAGGAGTATATAAATGTTGGTTTAACTCGTTTAACTCGGGCGCTACTTTAAAAAGTCATGATCTATTAGTATAAAAATAGTACATATTACCTATWCGTGACTTTTTGATTTTATATTCTGAGAAGAAATCAGAAATTTATTGATTATTAATTTTCCAATCGGATAGAGAAACAAAAAAAAAAAACGCCGTAAAAATCGTGAAAATTTGTAAATTATATTGTATCTAGTCAAAAAATAAAAATGCATACAATTTTTAAGTTTCATAACTTTGGTTGGAATATTTTTATAAAAGGTTCCATTTAAGTTTTTCAAAGATGAATTATAAGAAAGTAGAGCTTAATTATATTATATTTATGAGCGTCAGAGTAATTATTTTGACCAAATTAAATATTCAAACAAAAATTTTAATAAAAATTGTAATAATATAAATATCATAATTTACTAACAT